TCTCTTGGATGATTGTCAAGAAGTGGGCAAACACCAATCTAAATATTCAAAATAATTTAAATTTAACAAATCAATTACAACACTTTATTAATGTTTTTAATTCCTTAAGGCCAAATAGGCCTTGGGCGTTAAAAACAACAGTTAAGGAGCCTACTCATTTTTATATTTTTACAAAATAATGTACATGTAGTATAGAAATGTATTTAGTTAACCTTTATATGTTTTTCATATTTAATAATAACCTTTTCAATAGTCCTGGTAGATATCAGATTCAAGGTATCATTCTATAAATAATCTATGTTTAATTTGTATGTAAATATTTGTTAAAATGATTTTAGCCTTTGCCTTGAGATTAAATTTAATAATTTTTTTTTTTGTTGATATTTTTAAGTATGTAAGGATAGAGCAAGAAGTATTTTGAAAGTTTTTCTGGAATAAAAATAACACATCATACCTTATTAGTAATTTGTTGTAGAACTTGTCTACAACAAATTAATTTTTTTATGTGCAGTCTCTTAAAAAAAGTTTAGAATTAGTTAATAATTTTTTAGATAAATCCATAACTTATTGAAAATGTTCTATACAAACATGTGTATGTATATAACATAAATTATGGAAACATGTGTATGTATATAACATAAATTAAACCTTAGCATTGCTTATGTCATTTGTGTATGCCATTTTCAACTAATGGATTTACCTAAAAATACTAAACTTTTGCAAGAAACTAATAAAATTTCAATTTTAATACATAATGTGCTTGTTTTACTTTGTCTAATTGTTAAAGTATTTGTAAGCCAAGTAAATTTTTGAAATAGTTGGATTGAATTAAATCTATGTATTTGAATAGTTGGATTGAATTAAATCTATGTATTGGTTTAAAGATGTCAGCTTGTAATGTTGCTTTATATACATTCTGTTAAATGTACTAAACATTTGTGTTGTCTAAAAAAATAGTACTTTGTAATCACTGCTAAACGCTGCTCTTTTTTAGAAGTTATTTGTTAGTCATTTCTAAGTCTTTTTAAATCAGTTTTTCAATAGATTGACACGAAAAAAAAACTGTCCAAAATAAATAAAAAAAGCATAATTTTTAAAATCTTCTTTCTTAAACGTGTAAAAATTTGAAATTTATATTATCATATATTTTCAAAAAAATGGAAATTTTACAATAGATTCATAATCCTGATTGTAATCCTACTGAAGGTATAGCAAAGAGTAAAACTTCATTTAGAAATAAAGTTATGAAACCTTCTGTTTTGTTGATAGAGGCAATAAACATCAATATTTAAAATCTTGGATAGGTTTTACAATTGAAAAAAATGTCAATACAAGAGTGGTTATCGCTTTTTTGGAAAATATGTTGATAATAGTACTGATCTATCTATGTTAGAAAATAAAGTGTGTTCCTTCAGGAAATCAGATCTTTTAAATTAAGCTGTAGATGTTCATATTAATAAAGGATAGATTCATAGGTCCATAGATATTTTTATTAATGATGGATAGATGTTTATAAGCACACCATGGTTTCATGGTGATCATACAAGGAAAAGTTCAAAACGTAGAAAAGAATCATCACAATATGAAAACTTTTTTTCAAGTTCTTCAACTCAATTAATTAAAGTTTACTTAAATTCTGACTAAAATGACTCATTAACATCATTCTTGGATTATCTTTAAGTACCTTATATTAGCTAATCATCCTTGGATAATCCTTAAGTACCTTCTTTATTTTGACTTGAAACAAAATGTATATTTTGGAAGAGCAATACCTAAAAAAATTTTTTTATCAACTGAAGGGTCATGGTATGAAATACACACGCTGTTGTTGTAACAAGACTATGGATAAGAAAGGAGTTTGAAGGACTTCCATATTACTAGCAGATTACAAAAATGTCACAATCCATATCGGATATAAAATTGACTACGCAGCATAAGTTCACCACCTTAATACTTAATTTATGATCTCCATGTGAATAAAATTGTTAATCATTTTTTAATTGATAAACATCTGATCAATTTTTTTTTATATAACGGTGGTGGTTTTGATGGATCCAATCATGCTAAGTTTTAAGAAACAACACTTTATTCTTTAATTGAATATCTGGAATATATAAAAATGCTAAGTGAAATTAAAAAATATAATTCATTTTTTTAAATTGTTTCTCAAACTTTTTGGAACAAACTTTTATAATTCAATTTGTAAAGGAAGGGAGAAATCAACTAGACTCCTTGTCTATACAATGTTAGGTTAGTTAGTTTTTGTTGCTGACTGCTATTTTGGTATGGAACTTAATATATCCTTAAAAAAAAACAATAAATTTGGTAATTTTGATGCTTTACTTGAAACTATATGATTAAGATACAATTGCAAAAATAATTTTTAAAAAATTAAAAATTTACTAAAAAATAGAAAATTTACTAAAAAAGTTTAATTTTAAATACAGTTTACAATATATATATATATATATATATATATATATATATATATATATATATATATATATATATATATATATATATATATATATATATATATATATATATATATATATATATATATACAATTTATTTTGTTTATATATATTTATTAATTTATTTATATTCTTAACATTTCTTTCAGATATATGAACTGTTTCTAAGTTCTTAAAACGATTTACCACTTAACAATTTTATGTTTCAAATAATGTTGCTGCATTAAAACCTCCCCCTCCTCCCCAAGTATTCTGTGCTTAATTTGTAACAAAAAAGAAAAAAAAAGTCAAACCTTAGAAGCATCAGATTCATCCATTCTTCTGCTCCATACCAATCCGACTATCCACAGTAAAATAACTACAGTAACTGTCACAAGCAAAACATATCCTGTTTTTAACAAAGCTAAGCTGGGTTTAGGAAGAGCATTAGGAGCAACAAAAAATCCACCAAATGCAGTCAGATGGTTGCATTTGCATTTTGTCAAAAGAAAACTTGTAGTAAAAACATCAAGCTAAATACATATAAGTTAAGATATCTGTATGAATATATATATATATATATATATATATATATATATATATATATATATATATATATATATATATATATATATATATATATATATATATATATATATATATATATATATATATCCCCTGAAAAAAAAAATTTGCTTAAATTTTTATTTAAATTTCAGATTTTGCTTTATACCTTTTTTATTTGCCACACCTCAGCACTCGAAATCTGCCGCTCAAATGTAATTTTTTCACAAAAACAAGTTATTTTCCCTTGAATTTTTTGAAATTTCTCTAAAAATTCCTGCTATTATATCGAGCGCTGACACCTAAATTCTCATTAACGAAAACGATGTGTAAAATTTTTTCTTGGCTAACATACTGTGAGGGCTACTTATCCTTTTAAAAATTGCTAAACCATTATCACAATATAAACCAAAATTATTTTTATTATAAAATTGTGTAATTTGAAATGCTCCCATTAAAAAAATAAAATAATGAACTTGACTTTTTAATTCAAACTTGATCATCATTAAAAAGTAATGACATTTAATTCATTTATAGTCAGGGTTAGTAGTAGATGATGTTCAGATGACATCTTTGCAAGATAGATCAAAGATTTATGGACAGGGTTAGTAGTTAGATGAAGCCCAATGTAGTATTACCCTTTTTCTTCTTGGTGAGTTTTTACGTTGCAAATATAAGGTTTTTTGTAAGGCATTTTCCATGTGGGCATAAGATTGTTTGTCCACAATTGCCTAATTCATTGGCATTTTCATGAGAATTAAATAATATATTTTTATTATGAGAAGTAATAAAACTCTTTATATTTGGAAGGCAGCTAATACTAACCTTTAAGTTGCTCCAGTTAAAAAGTTTGTGAAATTTGTGGAAACTTTAGGAAAACATTTATCAATTAAACTCAAAAATATTTTTGCTGTTTTTTTTTTTGTTTTTTTTTGTTATTCACCTCCTTAAGGCCGAGAAGGCCACTACAGACGAGGAGGCTACTTAATAGTGGTTATAACTCTCTCTCAACTCTATAACTCCGAAACACGAACCTTGACAAACAAGGCAGCTCTGCAGAGAAACAAGTTTGTTTTGATATTGAGCAAATAAAGTGTGTTAAACCAGATGTTTCTTTTTTGAAATTTTTATTATATTTCTGGATATTTGAAATAAAATTGATCTTATCTTTGAATATATAAGAATTAAGAGTATTATTAAACAATGGTGCAGCTCTATCAAAAGCTTCTTTGCTTAAAGATATATTTCTAATGCAATCAGAGATCATTTTTGGTATCAATTTTATGATGCTTAGTGGATGATTGGAATTGATGTTAATATATAAAGGATTATCTCCTGGTTTTCTTTAAGGTTTAAAAGAGTTCTTAGAATGGTTAAATGTGATATCAAAATAATTTTAGGTTTTCAAGTTTGGTCTGTTAGCGATGTTAAGATTAATATTGTCTTGAAAACTTTTTATTAGATTTATTTTTTCTGATTGAGGACCACTGATATTATAGAAGCAGCAAAGACCATCATTTCTATATAAACCGGCAGTATTAAGACCATATTCTTTGGCAGTAATGTATAAGAAATAGAGACCAACTAATTCGCATAATTTGGCTCTGTCAAAACTACCCATGGTGAAATCGAATATAGGCCCTACCAACTTTTTAATCTACATATTATTTCCTGAAAAAAGTTTCCTGGTGTGGTAAATAATTTTGATTGATTTATTAAGAATTTCGGTGAACTGTTTTGTTTTTAGCAGTTTTTACCATCAATATTGTACTTCCATTGAATGAAAGTTTTATCTTCTTTTTTTTTGGGTATGGATTTGAACCATTTATCTTTTTTGGGTATGGATTTGAACCATTTTATTATGTCACTTTTGCCATTGGTGTGTCACTTTTGCAATTGATGTGAACCATTTTATTGTCACTTTTGCCATTGGTGTTTGTTATGTCACTTGTGCTATGCTTTTGGTGTACGTGGGTAGCATTCCTAACCTTACAATTGATATCATTTAATAAAATTTTACTTTTCTGAGCTCAGGTTTAGCTGGATTTGTTAATTGGCACTGTGTATTGTTGGTAAAGTTATCCTTATGATCTTTTAAGGTAATGAATACTGTATTCATGGCTAGATACTCTCTATTCCCAAGTTTTATTTGCTATGATTTTAGCTTCTGTGTTAATGTTGTTATATTGTGTGATATCATATTTTTTATAGGTTTTAGTAATATTTTCAGTATAAAGTTTATGATAGGAAGGTTTATCTAGCTTTTACAGGTTTCTTGATTTATCATCAAAGACAAAAACATTACTTGAAGATTTAATTTTCACTATATCAGTTTGTCATTGCTTCTAAAAATTGTTTTGAAATGTAGAAAATGAAATGTTTTTAATTAGCTTAATTAAATTGTTTTCAAAACTTACTAAATTAGGACAGTAGAGATTTTCTCAACTTGAGATTGAAACTATAGGGAGACTCTTGGGAGGGAGGCTAGGGAGGCTCTTGATAAGGATTATTTTCGTACATCAAAGCTTTCCATCTCATTTGCTTTATTATTGATATAAGGCATATTAAGCAATACTTAAAATGCCTCTGTTAGGCATTTTAAGTATTGCTTTTTAGATGGTAATGGTAATAAGTAGTTGAAATAATGATTTTCAATAACTGTAATTATTTAATATAACTGAAGATATTAGAGAGTGCTCAACATTATAGCATTCGGTAGAAACCAAAGCTTAAAAATATTGATCTCCCTGGCTGTTTTCTGGTGATGGGTAGTGTAAAAACCCTAAATCTTAAATTTCAGCACAAAATGTTAACCTTAACTCTTTTCAAATTAAATCGGTGAAACGTTAAACCAAAAATTATAAAAAAATTTAACTTAAAAACAATACTAATTTACTCCTGTTCAAAAAAATTTTTTCCAAAAAAATAATTTAAGCATATACTTAAATTTAAGGAAATATAATAAATAAATTTCTTTCTTTTACTTTTTATAGCAAAACAACTTAAATAAAAAAATTGAATGAAAACATCAAGTTAAAAACTATTTTAGTGAAAAAATTAATTATACTTAAATTTTTAATAGTAAACTAGATCTGGAAACAATAAATTATAAAAAATTTAATGTTTTTTTGCTTTGATCTTACTCATTTGATCTATAGATTATAGACTCGTTTGGTCTATAGGCATGTTTTTTGTGCAAATATGAATATACTGTTTACTATAACTGCTTACAATTTATGTAAATAAAACTGTATCATGCAACGCTATAAAATGGTATAAAACAGTGTCACGAAGTTGTTTTACATTAACGCAAGCTCTTTATATTGTCAAAACAACTTTGCAGTTTATTTTTTTGTTGTTTTATAGCTTTTTACAACAACAATTCAAATCCCTTTAAATATTACACGTGTTTTATTGTCAAAATGAACATGTTAAATAGTTTTCTAAAATTAATTAAAGTGGTTTTAATATATTGTAATATTTGTGTTTTTACTCTTACATTTTTACCTCTACTTTTTTAAACATGTTATGTAAAAACAATGCACTATAATGCTCATAGTGCTATAGTGCTCATTGCACTATAACCGCAACTAAAACTTTAAATTACAACTTTAGCTGTAAATTATAACAGTAATTTACGCTATTTTAAACTCCACCAAACAAGAAAATAATAAGATAAAATTCAAACATGAGAGATTAAGTTAAAAAATTAACAAAAACTTCCTCTTTTTGCAGTAGTTTCAGAATTTAGGATTTGAGAGGTGAATGGTAAGGGTTCCTCAAGGCTTTCATCAGCGCTAGTATGTTGATTGTAATGTTTATGCATTTGTATAAAACCGGTTTAAGTGATGATAAACTCCCGAAACACATTTGCCCGTGTTTTTTTTTTCTTTCTTTAATTTTATCTGTCTTGCTTTTTGTATCTTTTTAAGCTAATTTTTTGTCTATGCCTGCTAAACATTCTGGAAACCCTGGTTCTCTTTGTTTTTGTGTAAATATATTTTATCTTCTCTTTTCATCCAGTCCAAAGCATCATCATATAAAATATTAAAAAAGTTATCAAATTATTTTGAAAGTCTCCCTCAAGGCGCTTGTAATCGTATAGCTTTTTTTATTTTTTAAATTTTTTTGCAACTCACTCTAAGAATGGTGAAGATCTACAAGTTTTTACACAGTTATCCTTGTCCTGTACACATGTATAGCTCTGATAGGGATTCTAGCTTTTACCCAAAATATATTAGTCTCTTGAATGACAAAATTTAGGCTTTTACTAACAGAATATTTAACTTTGTCACTTTCACTAACAGTCTATTTAACTTAAAAAAAAAGTACTGCAAGAACTTGACGGTTAGATAGTACCTTTGCACCAGTTATTTGATAATTCACTTCACCAAATAAGAATTTTTTTTTTTTATTGTTTCTTAATTTCACTTCTTTAAAATGTAACACAAAATCACAAGAATAATTAAAGGTTTTAAGTTAAAAGTTTTTGCTCAAAGCGGTTTTTACAATGATGCATGATTATCAATTATTTTAAATTTATCCTTTTCAAGACAACAATTATCAGTTATGTGTCATTGTAAAAACTCCTTTGAGAATATTTGCCCTTTTAACTGATTGTTACACTGATTTAACTGAAAAAAAAATGACAAATAGCATGAGTAAGCACCGCAACTTTTTTGAACATGATTCGTCGGCAGAGGTTATTGTACTCCAAATAAGGTAAAAATTTATGTATGTTAACCAAATTATTAGCCCATCTTACAAATTTTGTAGAATTTTAACTATTTAATGATTTAAGTGTCATTTGAATCTGATTGGTTAAATTATATTTTTTTGGTTAAAATATTTATTGGTTAAATTATATTTTTTTGGTTTATAACATAACACTTTTATACTATTAGCAATATAAAATAATTTTCAGGGTACCAGCAATTTCAAGAGGACAAGTGGTATCTGCTTGACACACAAAATTTGTACTTCATAATCCGTGATGTTTTCTTTTTAGGTGCAGTTTCATTTTTTATTAATAATTATGATTTAATTACATTAGATTTATAAATACTAAGTTAATTATAATATATAATATAATTTTGAATAAATTTTAAGATTTTTTTACACATTTTAAATATTTTTCTTGATATTTTCTAAACGAATCAATTTATATGTTTTAAAACAATTTTTAGTAAAATAGTTGTATTGAAGTTCTAAATTACAAAATGGGAAAAAAGAATACAAAAAAAAAGCAATATCTTTTAACCAAGAGGCATTATCTTGATAAGCTAAAAATTAAGAAAATGTGAGATATCAAGACGCACTGTGAACCAAATCAAAGACAAATTGAAAAATGATCTCTTGTTAAATGTTCAGAGGCAAGACAAATAAAATTTGGTAAATAAAATGAAATAAAATCCAGGAATGAAAAGAATGAGTAAAAATAATGAAAGAAATTAACATTGTCCGCAATTATCAGCAATTTTCACAATTATCAGCAATTTTTACATATACCAGCAAATTAATTGAGGTGAGACTAAATGTAGCAACAACCACATAATTTTTGGTTGGGTAATGGGTGATGTGGAAGTTATCAGACAAATCTGAATTTAATTATTTGAGCATGATAACTTGTTTTTGTGGTTTTATGTGTAGGCATGAATGTTCTATAAAATATAAACTTTATTATTTGAAACACAATTATTTAAAATAAGGTTAAACATAGCTGAATGAGAATCTTTTTGAAAGCGACTCAAAATGTTTTTTGTAAATAAACCTAATTTATAAAAAAAAGAAATCGTAAATCATTTTGAAAAGGAAGGATTTGCTTGAAGTACAATATATGAGAACCTAAAAAGATTTGAAACTGTTCAATCCTTTTCTGATAGAAAGCACCCTGGTTGTCCAACATTCTGGACTAGAGAATAGAAAGCTGAATTAACAAGACTTGTCACCAATTGAAAAGGGGTCAGTCAGAGAAAAATAGGTTTTAAATTTGGTGTAAATCAATTGACAATTGGACGTCAGTTAAAAAAAATGAATATTAAATATAGAAAATGTGAAAATACTTCGAAATACACTATAGCTCAATTAAAGGCAAAGAAACAACAAAAAAACATGCCCAGAAAGTATTTGTTTTATAGAAAAAGAATAATTTCTAAAAAAATTATTACTGTGGATAGCCATATCTACTGTGGTATGTCCGAGCGATAGTTTTGCACTTCCAAGGCTGTAGCAATTAATTCATCAATCTATATTGATAAATATTTAGAAAAATGACTTCTTCTATTCATTTACAAGTATCATGGAGACTTTAACCATTTATTTTGGCCAGAGTTAGCAAGTTCTCATTATTCTAAAGATTCTCTAAACTGAATGGACCAGTATGTCTATTATGTTGGTAAAGAATCCAATCCCCAAATGTGCCTCAAGCACAACCAATTGAAAACTTTTGGAGACATTTGGAACAAAAGGTTTACGAGGGAGATTGGCTTCAACAGAGAAAGTTTTGATTGATCAAATTAAATTAAAACTACAAGAAATTGATTTTAATTTTTTACATTTGCTTATAAAATGCATCAGAGCAAAATTGAGATCAATTGCAGATAGTGGTATTTTTTCATTTAAAAATTAACTTATTTTTATTAAAAGATACTTTATAAAAAAATATAATAATAATTTTTTTTTATTTATAAATAAGTTATTGATGCTCTTATTTTGTCTTATAAACTTACGCATCACCCGTTATCATTACGATTATGCATCACCCATTATCAGTGAAAATTGAGTTGGGTTTTTTTATACATTGTTGATAGAATATTAAAACGAAAACCAACACAAGGTACAAAAAAGTCATCAAGTCTTTTATCTCAAAGGAAGAAATGATTTCTAAATAAGCAGAATAAAACATTTATGCAAGATGGAACCTCATGTCGCTCTGCATAATCTATTAAAAATTTTTTCCAGGCAAGTTCATTAATATAACCCAATTGATTAAAAAAAGCATTATAGCTTTGAAATCATCATGCACATTTGAAAGAAATGACTTCAAATTTCAATTATAATATACCTAACTGTCTTTGCGCAGTGATGAAAAACAATGGAGGATCAACAAAATAAAAGGGATTTAAGTTTTATAAGTATATTCTTATTATTATTTTGTGTGTTTTACATTTAATAAAATAATTATATTTTATTTAAATATATAGGTTTATATCTGTGTTTTTTGTAAAAAAATTTCTTTTTAAAAAATATTTTTCTTCTAAAAAAACAAAAAAATAAACAAAAAAAATATTACTGTAAGCTAATATTTTGATTGAGGGCTGTATAACAAATAAAAATACTAACTAATTTTAAACCAACCTCACATCCATCTGACATCCATTTGTTAGCGTTTTCGTTCCAATAGTTACATTCAAGACAAAAAGATTTCATTTCATAAAGATATGTTCCATAGTATTCTTTTCCATCCAATGTATATGGATTAAATTCCAAAATTTTCTCTGGCATTGGACCAACATAAAAATAAGATAAATGAAGAAATGTTTTGTTTAAAAAAGAATATGTTGAGTTATGAAAATCCCACAATATAATTGATCCATCTTTTAACAGTCTACATTTTTGACTTCGTTGGATATTTATAGAAAAATTTGAACGTGGTGTATTGTTCCCAATAATAAGATCAGTACCATCTCTAGTTGAAATGTTTAATTTAATATCATAATCATCATTTGTTGGAACTTTGCCATATTGAATGTAAACAATTAGGTTAGTCTTGTTTTGTGGATCATTTAATGGTGAAAATTTCATCATCAAGCTGCATTCAGAAGATGGAAGCTCAAGCAAGCTTGTTTGTACATCATATGGCATAGAAAGTGATATGTTACGACCATTCATTTTTTGTGGAATATTTTTTATTGAAATATTTACAGTTGAAGACAAGTTTTTAACTTCAATTTTCTGCCCAGTCGTTGCACTCAAGTACAAAATTTGAGATTCTGATACTATATTTTTAGAACGTTCTGAATCCCAAGTAAACGGTTGACTCCTAATATTAAGATTCTAAACAAAAAAGAAATTGCTTTACAATTAAACATAAATTTCATTAAATATATTTATTTAATATTCAAAAAAAATTGCTTACATTTAAAAATATCATGAAATATTATTTAAAAAATAAATTAATAAGTCAAAGGCAAACAAAAAAATAAAAATTTAAATATAAGAATTTAGGCTGTAACAAATATAAAATATTTTGTTCTTTGTTATTGTTATGTTATAATTTTATTTTTTTATTTATAATAAATATTTATGTGCATGTTATAATCATTATGTCATAATTTTTTTGATTATAAGAATTAACTTAATTTTTTTGATTTTAAAAGTTTAACTTAATTAAAAGTTACCTCAACATACCTTAATGACAACACTGGAATACTTAGTCGATTCATTTAAAAAGCTTGTCAGATTAAAAATAGAAAATCCACTATGCTCATCATTATTTTCTTCTGATGAACCAGTTGAAATATTTCCTGAGTAAATTCCATAAACCTTTTTCAAAAAAAATTTGAATGCAGGCGTATCACCGATTGTGGGATCTTCATCATTGGCAATGTGGTACTGCAAACCATCAAAATATTTGTCCATAGATTGAATAAGTTTCAAAACTAATTGGGAGTTATTATTTTCCTAAGCAATATTATAATTATTTTTAGCTTTTTTATTCTTTATCTTTTATTTTAAACTTTAAATCATTACTATTTTAAAATATAAATAAAAATGTTTTTAATTTAATTTTAAATTCTTAATAACTGTTTATTTATTATTTTTTTATACTAACCTATTTTATTGTTATTATTTTATTTATTTTATTTACTTTCATAGTACAGGTGGTATTATTAAGTACAGGGGGTATTATTAAGTATAGTACTTACTTTTTAAATTTTAAACCCATTATAATCTTATACTTACATATGTACATATCAGTTATGTTTCTATGAACAAATACTAAATTAAAAAATTATAATTCTATGAACAAATACTTAAAAAAATAATATTATGCCTCTAACCAAACGTGACATCCTTACCTCTGCTTACTAAATGTAGGCCTTTATTTACTAAATTTAAAACATTTAAAAATAATTTTCTTTGTCACAGCATATTACATAGAACAAAAATTTAAAATAATGAGTATTTTTATCCATCATTTTTAATGTTCTCGCCTCATTATGTAACTACCTTACTTTTTTAAAGTAAGGTAGTTACATAATGGTATATAAGGTAATAGTACAAAAGGTGTTTTTTGTGTTTCTGACAATTAATTTTTTTTTTTTTAATTTTAATTCACCTCTTCAAGGCCGAGAAGGCCACTACAGACGAGGAGGCTACTTATTCGTGGCTATAACCCTCTCTCAACTCTATAACTCCGAAACACGAACCTTGACAAACAAGGCCGCTGCGCGGAGAAACGAGTTGAGCGCGGTACTACCAGGGACGTGGTGGGGATCGAACTCGGAAACACTCGTTTATGAAGCGAGCGCTCTACCACTACACCACTACCGCATTATTTGGCTCAAGATGAGATTTTAGAATATTAGTTAAAGATGTCTGTCTTGAGAAAATGTCAGAGTTGAATTATAAAAAAAACTTTTTGCACAGATTATCATAAGGAGAGGTAATGAGATAAGAATCATATATAATAGATGAAATATAAGACTTTTGGTTATTAAAAGTATTAAATACAGTAGCCCAAATGGTTTTAAAGAACAGGAAAGTTGCTCAAGAGCCATCACAGAGAAAATAAAAATAAATCCCAATCAGCCAATCAGCCAATCAAACCAGCCAATTAGCCTTAAGGTTTTTGTAAAAATTACAATGAAACTGATTTAAAAAAAAAAGATTAATCGAAATTATAAGACTCTATGAAGAATTAAGCAAAACACACTAAAAACACTAAAAAAAAGAAACTAGACCTAAAAATACACCAAAAACAACAAAATTTATGTTAATAAAACTAAAGTTGCAACAAAGAGAAGGACAAACTGACTGCATTGCTTATGTCCAATGCCGGATTAACACGGGTTCTTGGGAGCCTAGGCGCCCAACCCCTAAAAACTAGGATACCAGAGGGGGCCCCAAATTTAAACATATATATAATTTTCTATATTTTACATGACTTGAAATTCTAAACTATTTTCATTAATTTTTAATAAAATTAATTTCGATAATTTCTAATCAAATTAATTTCATTAATTTGTCATGTAAATAATAATAAAAACTCAAAACTTTTTAAAAAACAGTTTGAACTTGAACATGTTCGAACTATAACTCTTTTTTTACTTAAAAAATGCAAATTGACATTAATGCAAATTGATTTGATTTTTTTTTTAATTAAGAACAAATAATATCATTTAAATTAATAGTTGTTTGTTTTTTTATTTACTTATATTTATTGGTAAATATGTATTCAAATATTTTATATATTATTTGAAATATTAGTTTTTTTACTTCTATTTTTTTAACACTAATGAATTATAAGTTAAGATTACAATATTATTTTTGCAATAATTGAATAATAAGGGACAAAAAATATCTAAGCAGAAATTCAAAATGCAAACTCCAAAAAAGAAAAAAAAAATGTAACTGACAGCAAGCAACATTAAAAAAAATCTCAAAACTGACTAATTTTTTCCAATCTTCTGATAAAGCATGGGAGGAGAACCAATGTGTGTCAAAGGAATCAGACCGAATCCAGGGTCATGCTTGAGTTAAATTATTGTTAAAATGTAAAACTTTTTTTCACAAAAAAAATTCAAGTTATAAAATAAAAAGGGTGTTTAATATTATAAAAAAAATATAAAGACGTGAAACAAAAATAAAGCAAAACTTTGAAAAATAATTAAAAAAATAAAATAAACTAAATTTTAGAAAACTATAAAACTACACTTATAATAATAAAAGTAATTTAAGAAAATTATATAAACTAAAAAAAATGTTAGCAACTTTATTTACAGAATTACATGAAAATTATATAAAGTAAAAAAAATGCTAAAAAACTAAAACACTAATTCACCTGCTTAGATATGTAACCAGGTGCAAATGTTGAGTTTAAGCTTTCTCCATATTATAAAAAAAAGTTATAATAAATATAAGCATATAATGATGGTAGTGGTATACACACACACACACACACACTCACATATATATATACATATATATATATATATATATATATATATATATATATATTATATATATATATATATATATATACACATATATATTTATATATATACACACATCTAGCAAGACAAAATTAAGTACAGATTATGTCAAAATGCATTAATTTAATTAATGTTACAACGACTGAGGGTTTAGTTTTGTCAGTCTATCAAATAATAAAAAAATATATTTTTAAACTTTCTAGTTAAGTTAAGTTAGTGTATTATACAAATAGAGCGCTAAATGTTCTTAAAGAACAAAATAAATTAGTAAATTAGTAAAAACTAAATTATTAAAAGAAAAGAGTTTTTACTAATTTATATATATATATATATATATATATATATATATATATATATATATATATATATATATATATATATATATATATATTGTGCTAGAGCATATTAACTAATATTGTTGTTTAATAATTATTATATTATTATTTTTATTTAATAACTTTATTATTGTTAAATATTTTTAAATTGATGATATAGTAACTATATCATCAACTAATAAAGCTGTAGATGTAGCAGACTCTACATTAGTCTACTGAAGTTCATATCAATTTATAAAAATTCCAATTTATGTTAAATTGGAATAGCCACAGTCGAGTATGAATTAAGGGTTTATGAACTGAGGGTTTATGTTTTAGACACTCTTTTAATTAATAGAAAAGATTTTCATGATTTCAAACATAAAAAAAAAAAGTTGCATCACAAAACTGAATACCCCTCCCCCTGTAACAAATCGTCACAAAACCATATATCACTTTCCCCCTATTGTGCAATACAAATGTTTTTGAAAAGTATTGAAGCATATATTATAAGAAATAGTTTAACATTAAGCCTAAGCATATTTCTTGTTAAAACTTTTTGCATAAGCATATTTAAGCCTGTTACATATGTTTATAAAAAATCATTATGCATCACATTATATCTTTGAGATCACCAATATGTTTATTAAAATTATATGACATAAGAAAGAAAACTTATATACAAATTAAAAATATATAGAATATATAAGAATGAATTCTTCCTTACAAATTAAAAGTATATACTTTACAAGTATATATGCATTACTCTATACTTCATTATATTTACAATAACCATCTCCCAGAAATTCTCACATCTAAGGTGGCATTGTTTGCTGATGATACTACCATTTATTCTTGTCTTGATAAGACAAGAATGAATGTCTTGATAAGACAATATATATATATATATATATATATATATATATATATATATATATATATATATATATATATATATATATATTTATTAAATGTCTACAATTTCAACAAGGCTGCAAGCAACCACTATTAGTTGGATACCATAACCCTAAACCTGAGCAAAGAAGTGATGTTTGAAGAAAAAAACTAGACAAATAAGAATTTTTGGAGCATCTAGCAACAGTCACAGTAAAAGAATGACTGTTGAAGGACGAGTAACGCAAGATGAACTTTTAGTAGATGGTACAATCAACGCTAGCTCTTTAGAGCAGCACTTATTATAGTATTTATAGAAAAAATAAAAAGAAGCAATATTACGACAATGTGACAATGGTTAAAAATTAGCAGTAGATGCAGGTTCAACTATGTTTACAATGCATTTTTGAGCCTTGTCTAAAAGAGAAAGGGCATCATTCAAAGATCCACCCCGGATATGTGCTACAGTATTCCATACAAGAACAGATTCGAGATTTATAGAGATAAAGAATAGAATCCAGAATAAGATAGTGGCGAGCAAGATTATGAGATGCTACCTTGGCAGAAGCTAATTTTGCAATGGATTTGCAAAATTAGCTTCTGCCAAGGTATATATTACTTATTAGTTGATGATATAGTCACTATATCATCAATTTATATCAAAAATATTTAACAATAAATAATATATATTTAATAATAAAATAATAATTATTAAACAACAATATCATTTAAAATGTACAAAATCTTATAATGTGAATACACAACCTGCACCATATAACCTGCAATACTAACATATTGAAATATTATAACCTGCACCACAACATTAACATATTTTTAAAGAAATTATTTAAATAATATATTCATCAAAAATTGAATACATCTTTATGAGGTTATTTATCCATTTAGTCATTGTTAAATTATACAACTTTACATTGAGCTATAGAGGTGCAAAAAAGAAAATATATACACTCCACTTCCCCTATACCTATTTAAGTCAGTCAATGTATGTATACTGCATTGCGACTACGACCATATCAGTTGACCATATCAAATTAGGTACACACTGACTATTACTATTGTGTGAAACTTTAAAATATTTTATTAATTAGTTATAATTGAACAACAGTATTAGTTAAAATGTATAAAACAACTTTTAAATAAAACATCAATATCAAAAATATCTTCCTGCTAAGGGAATTAAACCCTCACCCTTATTAAATGTACCTCAAAATATGCAATTATGATCACCCACTGATCTGCGCCAATATGTAGTCCAAGTAAAAAATAAAAATTTTAATATTTTTGGCATACAAATAATATTTATACTTGGCATTTTATTTGTATGTACAAACAATGACATTTTAATGTCTGTACAAACAATGACATTTAAGTAATATTAAATAATAATTGAAATTTGTGTGTTAAAATGATTAGATAACTAAAAAAAGCTAAGAAATTTAAAAACATTTACACGAGTTACAGGCCTGTGTATGACAGATGTGTAGTTCCAAGATTATTTACGGAGGTACTTACTGATGAGTAAAGAAAAGGGCCCAGGACAGTACTTTGTTATAACTATCTGCAGGAGCGTACTTTGATGTTATAACTAACTGCTGAAAAGTTAAACAAAAGTGCATTGATTAGAGAGACATTTAACAGAGGGTACTACAAAATGTTCTATGAACTAGTTATCTTTTAAGTATAAGGAGATGACCAGGATTTCATATAAATTAATCTGGAACCTGCCATAAAACCAATTAAAGTATAATTAAAGTATAAGTTAATAATTATTTTAAAGAAAAATTAAATTTTCAGATTTTTCTAATTTGCTTAGTAATAATATCTTATTCCTAAGGTTCAAGGCAGGTGCTCTATATCTGCTGATCCCAAGGATGACTGAGAAGTTAGCTTAGGTGATGAATAAAGTAGAGAAGATGGTACAGACAGTGACATTCTTTGTTTTGGACTATGGATCTAAAATTCCTATATGATAGACAAATCAACTTCAAATGATTTGGCTTAATTTAGCTAAATTAGCTAGTTTAAAATTTACAATATAAAACATCATCTGCTAACTAATGAAACAAATAATGTTGTTAAATACATTGCCTATTATGAAGAGATAATATGAATATAACTGAGTGAAAATCAAAGTGGTAGAGGTGACCAATGAACAATTAGATTTAGCAGTAGTATACATATGCATATATACATACACATATATTTTCACACTTGTGCGACTGTATGCATATGTGTGTGTGTGTGTGTGTGTGTGTGTGTGTGTGTGTGTGTGTGTGTGTGTGTAAAAAGATATAGATAATCAAAATTTTAATATTTATCTCAAAATCAATGAGTATAGTATATACAGAATTTATAATTACTGCAAAGACTAAAATATATTATATATTAAAATAATTATTACATAAAGATATTATAAATATGTAACAATTCATACATTAAAAAAAATTAAATTTATAAACTAAAAAATACTACAAACTTACCAACTGGCTCCACAATACCATCAGAATTAGCTAAACCACTGAACAAGTGTGATATGGAAGCAACAAAAGGTTGAGTAATTTGATCATATAAATGTGGGCCAACATCTTTAATATTTTTTTCTGTCAGCAAAGAAGACATATTTGTAATAATATCTACAGCATTGGTCTAAAGTTAGATAATTTTGAAAATGTTAACAAAATCAATATGATTTGTAAAAAATATTAATATATGATAATATCTTTAACATTTAAAACATTTTAGCGTTAAAAGAATATTTTAAATAGTAACATTAAAAATTTTAAACAATTAAAAGTGTGTAAGTTAAAAATCAACAAATGTATAAGATAACCAACAAAAAAGAAAAGTGGAAGTTTAACATTAACTGGATAGCTGCTTGAAGATGATTGTTTTGCTATTTAAGTACAATAATTTAAATTTGATATGCCATGCTTTTTGATGATAAAGATTGTTCAACTCATTAAATCATAATAGTTCATCTCTAAAGCCTCAACCTTAAAAGCTTACAAAGAATTTATAAATATGTTCTATATATTCAGCAATCATTCTTGTCCAATTATTTTTGATTTATAGGTATATGATACAATATAATATTTGAGTATATATAAAATGTACAATATATTTTAGAAAGAATGTTTACAAAAACAAATAGAGGAAAGGAAAATAAATTATATATGAAAAAACTATAAATTAAAATTTTTAGATTCAATTTAAAACTTAATTATTTTTGTTGTAGTTGACAACTAAAATTCAGAGCAAAAGAGAGAGAGAGTTTAAAAGAAAAGTAAAGAGCCTAAAGTGATTAAATAATAAAAACTATAAAAATTAGATAATAAATTGTTAGAAAAGAATTTTTTTATTATTTTTCTTAAAAATAAAATATTTACTACAACTTTTATGAATCTTCTGTGACTACCGTGACTTTAAGAAAACTTTTAACTTTAAAACTTTGTAACTCCAAAACTGTAACAGATTTAAATTTAGGGTTTTCGGATTAACAATTTATACTCAATTATTAACTAATTTATATTATTCAAATTTCAGCAAAATTATTTTTTCAATGTTTTTTTTAATTTTTGTAAGATCTAGTACATTCACCTAACATGATATGGCACCACCTACCGTAATTGATTCTTCACCTACCATGAATGAAAAAATCGAATATTTTGATTTAAATTTATGTACCTTAAGAAAAAAATGCATAAATTTAATATATGATTACTAAATAAAAGAAACATAGGTTTTTTAGTTTTATAAAAATTATCCACTAAAGATTTTCTCTGAATTAAAACTTTGTTTCTTAAGTATCTTTTTTTTAGACATGACCCTACCTCGTATTTAACTGATGCCAACTTGCTTTATAGAACATTTTCTCGTTATTTTAAGATAGCATACTCCTGAATGCCAAGAATGCATTGTTATTTAGTTGCATCTTAGCAAATAATAATGCATTTTTTGCATGTACATCTAGTTTATAAAATTGAGATAAAATGCTTGTCGATAAGCAAATGAAAGATTCACTAAATTTAATCACAACATTTATTTGGACACTTTGAGTTATGAGAGATTTTGCAAGCTACAACTTGACCTTTGTAATTAGTACAAAGGTCAAGTTGTAGCTTCCCCATTTTGTTTAGCCATCAATTCATCACTATATTTAACCCACTCATCACTATATTTTTTTTATTTTAAGGATAAAATTAGTTTAGGTAGACAATTTTTTTTTTTATGTGTTAGTTACTGGAGGTGCTAGTCTGGCTAATGGATTATAATTGTCCAGTATTGGTCTGATTCCAGCATCATTTGTGCTTTCATAACTGTCAGATGAACCATTAAAATCATTTTCACTACCGTAGTTAACAGTTGAACTGAAATTTTTATCTGTAGGTTCAGTAAGAGTTAAGGCCATTGTCTTGCTTGTAGGTTGGAAGTGCATATTTTACTTGATATATAATAGCTTGAGCCTCTATCTTCATTACATCAGCCAACAATACCATTACCAAGTAGATCAACAATTAACTGTATGGATCATTGCCAGTGGAGGCAGATACCAAACAGCTGTCATAAAAATGATAGTAACAGCTGCATCAGCTATTTAGTTGATGAACATTTGAGGCTATATATAATACATTTAGATAAAATATATATATAAGCACGTTTAAAAAACTTAAAAAAAAAAAAACTTTTAAAAGAAGGTGTGATTACTCTAAGAGCAAACAATCGCATTCATTTTTACGCAAAAACGTATTTGTGTTCCAGTGCTACTAAAATTTCACTTGATGTATTTTTTTACTTGTGTTGGACCAAGTGTTATGACATTTGAAAATGTTTGTGCAAACAATTTGAATCTAAGAGCCATGTTTCAGCAAAAAAACGTATTTGTGTTCCAGTGCTACTAAAATTTCACTTGATGTATTTTTCACTTGTGTTAGACCAAGTGTTATGACATTTGAAAATGTTTGTGCAAACAATTTGAATCTAAGAGCCATGTTCCAGCAAAAAAACTTACTTTTCTCAAAAAAATGTTAAAAACCGTTTTGCTTTCTGTCAGAAAAACATGGACTGGTCAACGGAAAATTGGAAGAATTTAGTATTTAGCAACAAATCATTTATCAAACAATTTATTTGTTGTTCTACAAGTGTTGGACATCTGCCTTACCAATAATGCAATATCCAATATTTGCTTTCAATAGTGAAAAGATATATATATATATATATATATATATATATATATATATATATATATATATATATATATATATATATATATATATACATATATATAGTTCTTTATAAAACTATATATATGTATATATATATATATATATATATATATATATATATATATATATATATATATATAGTTTTATAATATATAAGCTATATATATATATAGTTTTATAATATATAAACTATATATATATATATATATATATATATATATATATATATATATATATATATATATATATATATATATATATACATATATATATATATATATATATATATATACATATATATATATATATATATATATATATGTATATAAATATATATATATATATATATATATATATATATATATATATATATATATATATATATATAGTTTTATAATATATAAACTATATATATATATATATATATATATATATATATATATATATATATATATATATATATATATATATATATATATATATATATATATATATATATATATATACATATATAGTTTTATAATATATATATGTAAAAAAAAGTCAATGCTCATTTTAAACATTTAAGCAACCAGTAACATTTGATGATTACTTAAATGTTATAACAATTAAATATTTGCAAAAGTTTAAAATTTAAAAAGATTTTAATTGCTTTTTGAAAAACTGCAATAATTATGAAAGTTGTTCAGTTGCATAATCAAATATTAGGAAATAAATATTATAATATTTACAAATTTTGCTAAGTAAAGAAGTAAGTATGTAAGTACCACATTTTATAAAGAAAAGTAATTTTATAAACTAAAGTAAACAACAAAAAACCTTGGTCTGTGAAGTCAACTCTTCTGGCACAGTTAAAACAATTGCTAAGGCATCACCAACATTCTTTATGTCAGTTAAACTACTTAATGGTGTCTTTGAAAGCAAGTGAACAACTTTAGTGCGAACCTGACAGTAAAAATACTAAAAGTCATTAAAATGAAACATTTAAACTTGTTTAATAAACATGAAACATTGAAATTCTAAATATCAATAACATGAAACAAAAAAGTTTTTCTAATAATTATTGGTAAAATAATTATTTTTCAATTATGTTATATATTTTAACTTTCTGCTTTCCTTTCATTAGAACCTAAAATTAAATCCTTTTTATTTTATTTCATAATAACTTACACTCTGCTGTTGGACCAGCATATCTTCCTTTTTGAGTACAATTTCATTATTAACATCAGTAAAACCTGTTATATTATCAATGGTTTTTGGGCTCAACATTTTTACAGCATTTGAATTGTGATTTAAAACATTTGATACAGCATGAAGAAAACTAGAAAACGTGGTTGTATCAGGTATGCCAGCATTAGCAATTACATTTAAAACATTATTTGGGAATGGTAAAACCTAAAAATAAAACTTTTTTAATTTCTTTGTTTTGCTCAATGGCTTTTGAACTTTTTCAACAACTCTTTTTATTAACTATTTATTTAACTTTTTTAATAACAAAGCATGAAAAATTACCTGAATAAAAATGTCAGGATACTGTGTGTAAGCTTTATAGATTCCAACAACTCTGACATATATTCTAGCAGAAAAATTTTTATTTAAGTTACCAGGCCCTAATACAAAATCAACTAACAATGGATCATTTGGCGATTTGGCATTCAACAGTGGATAACTTATATCACCATTTCCTGTCATTATGTATTTTTCTGCAACACCACTGTCATAAAAGAATTCATATCTCAATATACTATTCTCATTATCAGTCCAATCTTGGCAAATGAGTTTAAACCTTGTGATAACAGCATATCCGATTTGAGGGCTAATAATTAAACATATATATATATATATATATATATATATATATATATATATATATATATATATATATATATATATATATATATATATATATATATATATATATATATATATATATATATATATATATATATGTATATATATATATATATATGTATATATATATATATATATATTTATATATATATATTTTTTTTATTTGCATTCACTCCCAACAAGGCTGCAAGCAACCACTATCAAGTTGGGAGTTACTAGGAAAAAAAAGAACAGAGTTATAGAGCAAGGAAACGGTTGACAGAAGACTTGAAAAGTTGAAGGTTGTATGAGTCAGGAAAACATGAAGATGGGAGAGAGTTCCAAAGGATTGAAGTGCGGGGAAAAAAACTAGATGAATAAAAGTTTTTAGAACATGCAGGGACAGATACAGTAAACGAATGAGACTTAGCTGAATGACGAGTAAAACGAGAATAAATTTTAGTTGATGGAACTAGAGATGATAACTCCTTTGAGCAGTGACCATGATAGTATTTGTAGAAAAGAGAAAGAGATGCAACCTTACGATGATGGGAAAGAGGTTCAAGCTTAGCAGATAGTCCAGGTCCAACAACATTTAAAATGCGTTTTTAGACCTTGTCAAGAAGAGAAAGTGAATCGTTAGAAGAACCAGCCCAAATATGACAACAGTATTCCATACAGGGACGAATAAGAGATTTGTAGAGGTAGAGAATGGAATCACAAGTAAGGAAATGGCAAGCACGATAAAGAGAAGCAACCTTAGCAGAAGCTAATTTAGTAATCGATTGTATATATGGTTTCCATAAAAGGTCAGTAGTAAGCGATAATCCAAGAAGACGTAAAGAGGACGACTCAGTATATATTTATATATATATATATGTATATATATATATATATATATATATATATATATATATATATAAATATATATATATATACATATATATACATATATATATATATATATATATATATATATATATATATATATATATATATATATATATATATATATATATATATATATATATATATATATATATATATATATATATATATATATATATATATATATATATATATATATATATATATATATATATATATATATATATATATATATATGTGTATATATATTTAATATATTTAATGATGCATTATAATAAAAAGCCGAATATGTCACTTTTCTATTAAATTTTAAAAATGGCAGCAAACCTATCTATCTGAAAGGCAAAGTGCTGATTCTGAAATATCAAAATTTTTTAATGCATAGGAAAGTTAATTCGTTTACTTGTTAAATTAATACTATTTAATATTATTAATTGGTATTTATAAAAAATAACTTTATTTTTAATTTATAAATAGTTATTTGAACTTTATTTAAATAGTTATAAAAATTTTGTTTTGAATGTTTTTCGCATCCACAATTTCTTGTGTTAAATGATTCATTTTGTCCACTATTTTATTTATAAAAAAATTATTCCGTAAAGTTGTTCTTGTTAGCTTAGTGGCATGCGTTTTATTTTTGGAACTGGTAAACATCAGTTACTCGTTTTTAGGATTATTTTTTCCGATATGCATAACCTTGCACTTGTCATTATTAAATTCTATCAACCAGTTTTTTGTCCATTGTACCCTTTTATTTAGATCTTGTACTAATTTTCTGTACTGCTGTTATGATCTAGTATAGATATTAATTTTGTATTATCTGCATACAGTTTACATTCGTTTTTTATATTTAACATTATACCAATTGTGTATAAAATAAATAATAATGGTCCAAGTACGGATCCCTGAGGAACACCACTTATAACATTTGTCCATTCAGAAAGATTTTCTCCAAGTACAACCTGTTGTAACTTATTTTTTAGAAAAGTAATAATACCATAAATAATACCATATCCAGCTAATTTTATACACAATCTTTCATACGGTACAGCATCAAAAGCTTTAGCAAAATCTAGAAATATAATTTTAACTGGAATATTATTGTCAAATGTTTTACTGACAATATCTAATGTTTTTAGTAAATTTGTGCAACAATTTTTTTAATTCACAAAACCATGTTGTTGCACTGAGATTAAATTTCTATTGTTAAGACATTTCATTTTTTAATCTCTGACAATACTTTCCATGAATTTGCATACAATCAATGTTAATGAAATTGTTCTGTAGTTACCTGATTCAAGTCTGTCACCTTTCTTATGCAATGGTGTATATTTGCATTGTTATATTTGCATGTAACCATAAGTTTCGTAAAGTTGCACTTTCAAATAATTGACTAAACATTAACTCTAATGGTTTACATAAACTTTGTGAGCATTCCTTCAACACTCCTGGATGTACTTTATCAACACTTGTTGATTTATTTGTGTTTAATTTTTTTAGTTTTGTTTTAATTATTAATTTCTAAAACTTTGGATATGGACAACATAGAAAAGTTTTTTTTCAAATAACGGAATTTTATTGCTATTTTCAATTATGAATACTGAACTGAAAAATGTGTTTAATGTATTGCATATTGTTTTACCATCTGCTGTAACATCACCATTTGTATCTCTTATGGCTCTAATAGTGTTTTTTATTTGGTTTTTACTTTTTATATAAGAGTATATACACTTAGTCCTTGACTTTGATTGTTTTACTAAATTATGTTCATACTCCATTAACACTTTTTTAATATCTTTTTTTAATATCTTATAAGGATTGTTGTAATTTATAACATTATTTGTATTTTTAAAGCCTGCAGCTTTGATTTGTACCATAATTCCTTTAATATTAACTTAAATTTTAGGTCTTTAGTCAACCATAATGATTTTATCTGTCTAATTTTTTGGTTGTTTTGTTGAATTTGAGGCATGAACATTTTGCAACCTTTTTCATAAATTGTTAATCATCTTAAATAGCTTTCATCAACACTTGAGGTTTCAAACTCTTTTTTACAGTTGAAATTATTAAAATATTTATTTAACTCTTTATATTTACCTTTGTTGAACAGATATTTTGTTTGACAGTCTTAGATAGTAACTTTATCCATTAAACTATATAGTATAATTAACTATAAAAGTATAATTAATTATGTAAGAGATTTAATTTTTTTAATTATGTAAGAGATTTGTGTTTTATAAGAAAAATTAACTTATAATAGACACAAATTAATTTGTGTCTATTATAAGTTCAATTTATCGACGGGGATAGTGCAAAACTGCGTAACTAGCATTTTAGCGTATCGACGGTACATTTTTTTTACTGGAGAAGTTTAAAACTTTATTTATTTTTTATTTTAACTGATTTTGGATTCATTTTAGTAAAAAGAGTATTATTCATTTTTTTGTAATCTCAACAATGAATATTTGGTGTTAAAATTAATAATATCCAAATATCGTAGCCAATGCTAGTTACGCGCATTTACACTATCCCCGACGTTATGTATAATTTTTTAGTTAAAGAAATAGATGTCAATTAAATCAAAGCCAACTTATGAATTATTGAATAAATTTTTTCAACTAACTATAAAGATTTTTTCAGGTCAATTAGTAGTTTAGTTTTTTTTTAGTTAGGATTTGATTTATTTGGAATGCAACCTTACTTATACATGTTTTTTTTTTTTAGTTTTTTTATATATCTCCTTCTTATTATATTATTTTTTCATTTCTTTAGCATTACTATTTTTGGATTCATTGCCAATCAATGAAGTAGTGCTTTTAACTATTAACAGATGAAGTCCTTCAGGTATGTCTCCTTGTCAATAGTTTGTTGTATGATTATTTTAAATTTTTAAAAAGTTCATTTCAACACAAGCTAAAGTAGAAGTAGTTTTATTTACTGGTGATCTAAGTTTTAAGCAAAATAAGTTTGTATCATATATCAAAATATATTCTGTTATTTCTTTATTTATTGATAAAATATAACCTGTTATGGTGATAATTTTTTTTTGCATGAATTTATTTTTAACACAGTGCTCTCAGACAGAAAACTCTTATAATAGAGGTGTTATAATGTTGATATGCCAATATTACCTATATTGTATTCATATTTTTATTGATATATAATTTTCAGGGGCTATAGATTTTCGTAATGCATATCTTGATTCTAAAAGCCTGAGTAAGTTTATTACTATTATTATTATTATTATTATTATTATTAAATGTGTGTATTATATATATATATATATATATATATATATATATATATATATATATATATATATATATATATATATATATATATATATATATATATATATATATATATATATATATATATATATATATATATATATATATATATATATATATATAATATGGCCCAAGCTCCAGCGTGTTTTATATAAAATATTAATTTTATAGGGACTGTTGAATGCAACAAAATAAACAATGCCAAAGATGCAAATGATTTTGGCGGTGCACATCCTGATTCAAAATGCCAAAGTAACTTTTTATTGAATTAGAAATATAATACTTTTCATATTATAAATTAGTTTTTTCGTTCTCTGAAATTAAAAGAGAAAATTTGGTGACTGGCTGGAAGCCTATACACTAGGGTGTCCCAAAAACACATTTTTTAAAAAATTTTAATGTGCTCTCAATTGATCCCCATTCTTTAGGTCCTAAATAGCAACCAAATTTTTTTTTTAATATTTTAATGACTAGAAATAATAGATGTAAATTTCGAGTTTTACGGTTTTGTACACATATGTGTATTGACATAAAAAGAGCGCTATCTAGCATTTTATTATGTTTCAATATGATGTAACAATTGGTACACAAATAGTTCCCATAGGAATTATCAAAGATTAGCATTGAACATCCCTATGAACATTGTTAGCGATTAATACAATTCCCTCTGGACAATATTATTAGTTGGTATAAATTCCCATTGATTGGTTCACAAATAACTCTGTTTAGAAATTTTTATAAATGGAATTATTTGTGCACGAAGGAATTCTTGTGTAAACGGTTATAAAAGCCTTAACGGTAAACTTAG